CAGGCCTCTCTCATCTTTTTAAGTGGGAGAACTTGCACAATTAGTGGCTGACTAAATACTTTTTTGCCCCAGTGTATAAGAATGTCACAGTTCCTTTCATTGTGAAGCTGACTCAGTTAAAGCAAAAACATTTTGTCTCAAAGGGAACATGTGCTACATTTGCCTTTTCTATGCCACTGATGAAAATAGATTCACTGCTGTTGCTTGCATTTTTAATTTAATTTAATATTAATTTCCTGTTTACCTCTGCAGAATGATTTCCATGAAGCAGCTTACTGCAGACGGTTGGACTAAAATATAATCTTTGCGGTCCTTTTCAAATCCACAGTTCTATGATTCTGTGATGTTATGGCATTTACATTCATAATTTCTGGTTCTAGTTTCTGTTGCAACATATCTGATAGTATATCAATACCTAATCTTCCTTTTTCTGACTGAAGATTCCAAATTCCTTTAGCCTGTTTTCAAATGGCATGTTTTCAACTCCCTGAATTATCTTTGTCAACCTTTGAACTTATTCAAACCTGACAATATCCTTCTGGAAATGTGGTATCTAGAATATACATAGTATTCTAGGTCTGGTTTCATCAGTGTAGAGTGAGGAGGAATAAGGACTTCATATGTCTTTGATATAGGGCTTCTTGTGATGTAGCATAGAACTCTGTTGGTCCTTCTAGCAGCTGGGTCATAATGTTGGCTTATGTCACCTTGTTGTTAATTATCATACTCAAGGTCTTCTCCTAGTGCTTCTGAGCCACAAATCCCTCATCTTGAGTATAGGCTCTATATTTTTCTTCCCTAAATGTAATCCTGTATATTTTTCCCTGTTAAAGGACAACTTGTACCTCTTAGCCCAATCTTCCAGTCTGTCCAAATGAAATTGCAGTCTCATTCTGTCATCCTGGATGTTAGCCAGGTCTCCCAGTTTTGTGTCATCTACATATCTGATAAGTAGCCCATCAGTGCTGCTGTTCAGGTCATTAATAAAAATGTTGAATAATATTGGCGCCAAGACAGATCCCTTGTGTAAAAAGTTTAAGATTGTTCAAAAAGTCAAAGATGGTGGCAAAAACTAATCAAGATATTGCAACATACTCTAAGTTAACCTTATTGGCATTTGAGGAAGCAAAGAAAAAATTGCTGCATGAAGCAATTTATGATCATGAAGAATTGATCATATTTTTTGTTAGTGACTGCTAGATAACTTATAATTCATGTATGGAAGACAGGGAGTAATCTGTCAATGTGAGTTTGGGTTCAACAATGATGGGAAATTGCCCTAATGAGAAGCTGGAAGGGGAGAGGCAGAAAAAGAGAGAGAGGCTTGGTATAGCTGAAGATGACTTTTTAAAGTTTTGATAAAGCTTTATTATCTATGCACATGGTGGTATATGTGTATATGTATACACACACATATATACATATATACGTATATACACACACACATCCACACAAACACACGTGTATGCATATGCACATATATACACTCCGAATATACATAGTAATCAATAGACAGATAATTATTAGTTTTAAAAAGAACAATTGGAGAATGTATTATTCTGTGCTAATGTTTATTATATTTAATGTAATAGGAAGTTCTATGTAATTAATTGCAATAATTATTGCCATTATTATAACAAAATTAGCTAATTGTACTAGGTACTTACATTTAAAATAAAATGAGGAGAAGGAAGAGAAGAAGAGGTGGAAACTGATAACATCTGCAGTACAGAAATTCCCTGAATGAGGTCTTACCTGGAAGCATTCTTGCTGAGAATTATATTAATTTGATAACAAATCAAGCTGGAGATAATTTACCCATTGAAAGATTCCAGAAGAATCAACCATAAATATGTACATGTGGATTTAGAATTATTTGATGTCACTTGGCCCTACATTTGAATTTTGTCCCTCAGACTTTTGCTATTTTATCTATGTTTGAAACTTCACTTTCTGAAAATAATAATTTCTATACTGAAAATACTTCTATACTATTCTGGAAATAATATTAAGATTTGTGGGGGCTTGTGGGGAGAATAGCAGTTGCAGAGTTCAGAGTCAATCCTCTTTTCTGCGCAGGTAGATGGTCTTCTCTTTGGTGCAAAAGCATGTATCTGATAGTTCCCTGCCACCTCTGAACTTCTAGATTTAGATGTTTCTAAACATGATTTGCATGTTTATTTTTTGAAGATGAAATTAATACTTCTCCAAATATTAATGTTTTTACTCCCATGGCATGTGCCATGTTATTAAATCCTACTAGGAACTTAGGGGGTTTGCTTCTACAACTGTACATCAATAAAAACAGGAAAGGCTACGGAAGTGGGGGCATAATTCTTATATTAAGAGGGTACTTCAAGTTTGGATGTATTTATCATTAGAATTGCTTTCTTAAGACTAACATTATTTTTTAAGAAGCAAGTCTCCTTTTCCCATGATATAAATGCATCCTGTTTCATTTTACCACTACATAATATAATACCTTCTTATTTTTTAGGACTTCTATATCTGGACTGCAAAAATCTGGATTACCATGAGACAGCAAGAGAAGTTCCTTTGCACGTCACATTGCTGCCATCTAGCGGACAACAAGATTTTCAACCCAATCTAGCAGCTGTACTTGTAAAACAGCACTGTAATGGAAGCAAGAAATATTTTGCTAACAGCTGAAAAAAAAAGTTGGCTTTTTTTTGTTAAAAAAGTACAGATTGAGTATTTTGATACCATTGTAAAATTATTAAGTAAATAATTGCTTCAAACTTGACAAAGACTCAGATGACGATTAAATGGCAGCAAAGACATACAGAAAGCTTGGAGTCTTTGCTGCCATCACATAGTTGTCTGGATTTCTGTAGCCAAGATCTGGAGATCCCAAACTTCTATAGGCCTACCTCAATCCTTCTTCAAGTCTGACTAGCAAAGCACCTTCTACAACATTTTCTTTTGGCAGACATTCTGTTTGGCCCAATCTATAGACTCAGGTGGCTCTTCTGCTTCTTCAGCTCCTCTTCCCCATTACATTATATCAGGGATAGGGACTTCCAGACTTCCAGATGCTGAACAACTACAATTCCCAGAGCCACATCAAGTCTAGCCAGTAATGAGGCATGCTAGGCGTTATGGTCAATATCTGGAGGGCGACACGTTCTCTTTTCCTGGTAAATGTTACTGGGGCTGTGCACTCTTTGGAAGAAATGCTTTGGAAGTGGTCCAAGTGCAGCAGCACCTAGGTTTCTATGTGAACCTGAAAAATAAGATGATGATGTTTTAAGGAATCCAGTTTTTGAAATTAATGCAATTGTTAAAGACTCAAAATACCTACAGGTAATCCTCACTTAATGACGGTAATTGGGACTGGAATTTCTGTCACTAAGCGATTTGGTCATAAAGCATGTCGTCATGTGACCACTTTGCTTAGTGACAGCAATTCTGGCAGTCCCCATTGCCATGATTAATTGAATCCCACTCGTCATTAGAGTGGATCCACCCCAATCCAAGCCATTCCCCACTTGGTCCCTCCCAGCCCTGAGCCTCGGTAAGGTAAGGGACTATCTCCTGTGCCTCCTTTTGAACTCCCCCACCTGTCTACCTCCCCCATCTCTGACCTTTTGGCCACCTGCCTACCCGCTGCCCCCACCGCCCAGCCCTGCCTGCCGCTGCTCCCGCCACACTGCACACCACTACCCTACCAGCCAGGGCCTTCTTTTGCACCACCTTCTTTCACACCAGTGCAGCCAGGGCTTCTCTCACACCCTGCCCAGGGCCTCCGTTTGCACATCAGCCAGGGCTTCTGTTTGTGCCCCACCCAGGGCCTTTTGCAAAATAAGCCTGGTGTGAAACCAACCAAAAGGTTCTTTCTTTCATGCTGGCGCAGCCAGGGCTTTCTTTCATATGCCAGGCTTCTTTTGCAAAAGGAGGCCCTGGGCAGGGCATGAACAGAGGCCCTGGCTGGCGCGCGGAAGACCTGGACAGAGCACAAGAGAAGCCCCAGCTGCACTGGCATGAAAGAAGGCCCCAGTTGGTACAGAAATGGTGCATGGTGCAGTGGGCATCTCGGTGGGGGGCAAGGCCAGACAGCAGGTAGGCGGGTGGCCAAAAGGTGGTCATAAATGCGGATGAGCCTGAGTGGGCCTGAATTTTGTTACATGACCACAGGGGCACTGCAATGGCTGGAACTTCAAAGAATGGTTGTAAGTCCCTTTATTCAGTGCCATTGTAACTTTGAATGATCACTAAACGAATGGGCTTTAAGCAAGGACTACCTGTATAACTTACTGTTCAAGTATTTGGGCTGTGCAAATCTTGAAAGAAGGGTTTGGCTTAAGAGAACCTTGAGAGAAGCACCTTCTCCAAGTGGCTTTGTAAAGAAACATGGCTCCTTCATTTGTGTTGTAAAAGCCAAATGGCCAGGCTGCTTTTGTCTGCTGTGGTTGCTTCAACTGGCTATTGTCAGGCTGTCTCTGCTGCATAAAAAATCTACATTGTTGCACAGCATGTTGCCTCTTTACCCCATGATAAGAATTATACTGCCTCAGTGTCACAAAGTTCTTCATCAAAGTACAGGTAGTCCTTGTTTAGCGACTACAATTGGGACCAGCAACTTGGTCTTTAAGTGAACTGGTTGCTAAGTGACACTGCACTGCAACTGTGCTTATGATCTTACTTCAGCTTCCTTTGCTTTACAGACCTGTGAAGGTCATAAATGTGAGGACTAGTCACAAAGTTATTTTTTCATCACCATCATAACTGCGAACAGTCGCTGTCCAAGGCAGCTGCTAAACAAGGACTACCTGTAAATCCAAGCTGCCTTCCACAAGTTTATTAAATAGATCTGAGTTGGTTTTTGTTTGCTGTATAGTTACCACACTGTTCTTGCACTTTTCCAATGTTAATTTCTCTCACTGAACTTTTTTTAAAAACAGCAAAGTACTAAGATGCACACAGACTCCTTTTTCTTTAAAACAAAAGAAATAAATCCTACTGATCTTTACATCCCCCCCTCCCCACAACCTGACCCAAGCTTAGAACCAACATTTTGAATGCAAAGAAGAACTTGCAAAATATGCTTAAAAGATTATTTCAACATCTCTGCTTAATAAATGGGCATTCATTTTTTCATTTACTTAAGTGGCAAATGAAATGGAACTTCAAAACAAAATTTGCTCAGTTTATGTGTTGCCATATCTCTCATTTTTAAATGCGTTAACTTAAAAAGCTTAATATTATTGTTTCAATTAACAAATATTGCAAACAGGCATTTGAAAACATCAGAAAAATACTATTATCCCTCCTTTCTTATTCAGAGACCATACATTTGTTTTACAGTAGGTTAGGAATTGACAACTATTGTTAGATGAGTAAAACTTACCCAGTTTTGAGAGATATATAGTAACATAGTCTGCTTTTAAAAATCTATATAATTCACGTAGATATAACACTTCCTGCTTATCTGTGTTTCTAGTACCCTGAAGAATTTCTGTATTTCTTTACCAACATGCATGAAACCTTTATCATTGCTGAGAACAAAGTGGCCTCCTCTGAGATATCTGTTTGAATCTCATATAAACAAGTGCATGAACTGAAATGTGAAATATTCATCAGAAAATGTTTAGCAAATCCTTTTATGTCTGTTTAAAAGCAAGCATTTCTGAAATCATGTTTGCTTTAACAGGCCTTTAAAGATTCAGCCCACATAAACACACTATTAAGCAATCTTGGACTTTTGTGGTTTTCAGAGTTCCCTCATGTACTTGAAAAAGTTATCATCAGGAAGTTTTAAAAATACCCCTTAATTTTGAGAAAATTACATACTGTAGAGCTGACTACAACATATAATGTTGCAGAACCACTTTGTCAGAAGGACTGGAGGCAAAGCTGTTGCCATGTCATTTTTAAAAATTAAAATACAGGGTTTTTTTTTCTTTTTTAGAAATTATATCCTAATTTCATTTTTTTTTCCAATTACTGTCATACCATGAGACTGAAAATGGCTGAGTTAAATAACAGTCGATATTCTTCTAATTCCCCTCCCATTTTTAAATACGTATATCTGACTTATCGGATGACTCTTGACCAGTCAGTTTCAGCCAGACCTACCTCACAAGTTGTAGTGGTGGGGAAAACGAGCGGAATGAGCCCTACAAAAATTGCCTTCAGCTCCTGAACAAAAGCTGGCATACAAATCTAATAAAGCAAATAAAGAGAATGTTACTATGCAGATCACACTTCTTAGAGCTTTTCTCATGTCAGTTTTATAGCACCCTCCTGAACTTGGTTGGGTTGAGGCCATTGCATGCCAATGCCAAATTATGACAGAAATGGAAAGCTAAACCCTTCCTTTTTCCAAGCCTAAATATCCCATTCTAGAATAAACCGCAGATGTTGCAGGTCTCTAGATATTGGTGTAGGGATGTGGGTGGGTGTGCTGGGCACCCCTGCTGAATCCTCAGGCTTCCCCCATACTCTGTTTAGCAGGTGAGAACCAAAGATGGGAACGACTTTCTGTCCCAAGACATTGGATGCCTCAAACTTGCAGGAGGGTCATAAAGATGCATGACCCTCTACCACTAAAATGCTGTTACTTAACATTCAAGTGGTCTGCTCAGGATGCCGTTAGAGACTGATAGTGTTAAGCATCCACATACTCCATCAAGGATCCCACTGCTAATCCTTGTAATTCCTTGCTTTCTCTTGCTGCATGTTAAGGGATTCCCTCGGCCGTGAGCCATAAAAACAGGAAGGAGAAATGACCTGCTCATGTGGCCCTTTCCCTTTGGGCCTGGGCCAATGAAGAAGACAAAAGAGAAGTGGTCAAAGAGGAAGTATGCCCTGGTGCTCCCAACTGCTATATAAAATTTGGGACAAAAATGTTGATGAGACCACACATAAACACATATAAAATGCCACTAGATATGGGGGTGGGGGGAATAGGGAGAAAGGGTTAGTTAGATATCTTTCAGAATTGTGCAGGTGAACTATATGGGACTCTTAAGAACTTGCAGAGTCTGCAGAAATTAAAGAATTGTGTATGTCATTGCACTACAGTATTTCATGCACAACGACTGGAAAACAAAAAGTCTGTTCAGGCTTTTAAGCAACTTCTGTTCATTGCTTTGATGCTCAGACACAAACTGTTCACAGTAAATGGTAACTACAGTATAGCAAGTAAAAGGAAGTTATGGCTCTTTTGGAATTGAATATGTTATGATTCTTTTGATTATTTAGTAAATTCTGTTGCATTCAAAAGCACTGCTGAATTCTGTGATGAGAAATAGCTTTGAATGTTTGTCTTGCTATTTCTGAGATGTGGTCATGCTGCTTCACCTCAAGACTGACTCGTCTAGGAGTTAACTCTCTGTGGTTGAGAGGTGTTATATGCTTTTATCATGGCAATATGTGAATCTGGTTTTCCCAAGTTTGTTCAAGTATTTCAGATCCTTCTTGTGTCCTTTTTTGACAAACAGAAACATGCTTGGATTGACTTTCTAAGATAAACTTCATTTCTACGATAAACTTATTCTTCTTCTTACTTTAGGTAGCAGCTAGAAACATTATGATATTAAGAAAAGAGGACTTGGCTTTTTCACAGTGATTTTGAAAAAGACCCAAAAGGAAGGTCTCTTTTCTTTTCAGCTTATTATCTCTTTCCTAAAAGGTTGTCAAATGGCAAGATAGTAATTTTCTTGTTAGGTATACAACGGTTTTAAACTACAGCCTTAAAATTGTTATTTCACTTTGAACAGAAGAACTGTCAGTTCCCATGACAGATTAAGGCTCCATCTCCTGAGAAAATAACGCTTTAAAATCCTAGTCTCACTGGGACATACTAATGGCCAAATCTGCTGAAAAACGTGCTGTAAATAAGAGTGCTTGCTCAGACCATTACTGATCATTACTTTAGTTTCACTCAATCTAGCAGAACCTTGGGATTTAGCACAGTATTTTTATTTAGTGTTTTCTAAATAGGTTCCTGGGGTTGAGATGGAAAATAACATCTGGTGGTGTATTTTTTTTAAAGTTACATGTTTAAAGCATGAACAGGCATTTATGAAGAATTAGATAAGGAAATATTAAAATGTCAACCAAGACAAAGACAACAAAATAGGAAGCATAAACAGCAAGGCAAGAAAATAACACATGGTGGAATGTAAATTACAACCACCCAGGATGGTCTCAAATTTATGTCTCATTGAGGTCCATCTAAAGGGATAGAAGAATAGAGACAACTTGGAATCATTAAGAAGGAAAAAGAAAAAAATAACCAATCAATATTTCCCGTCTAAAACTATTGTGATTCATTGTATTCAGTTCTGATCACACTTAGAAAAGGATATTGCGGAGGCTGAAAGATACAAAAAAGGATAATCAAAGTGTTAAAGGAACTTCAAGCAGCTTTTCTATGAGGAAAAACTACAACATTTGGGTCTTCTTAGCTTGGTGGGAAGGTAAGAAAGGGCAATGTGATAGAAGTATATAAAATCATATGTGATATGAGAAAGATGGATAAAGGTTAAATCTTTCCAGCTCACAATATTAGAAATGAAGTCACTATTAAAAGAAAACATGGGGAACTTTAGGATCACAAAAGGAAAGTATACAACACATAGATAATCCCTGTAGAATTGTCTGCCACCAGATATGGAAATGGCCATCAATTTAGGCAATTATATGGAGTGACAGTTAATAATCAGTGGTTATCAATTTTGATGGTTGTAATCTACCTTCTAAATCACAAGTATAAAATGGCTTCCTGAAAAAAAATAACCATAATCAGAAGATGAAAGATGGTTACAATTGCACAAAAACTTGTGATCTTTCTTCAGAACATTCTCCTTTGCATTAAATTAAATTTTAAATATGCAGATCTACAGGCATTTTAATCTCAGTAGACATGCAAAGGATTTCACTGTTAATATTCTAGGCATGTTTAAACATCGTAACACACTTTTTATTTGCGAAAGCCTGTTAAATGTAATAGCCAAAGATACACAAACTAATTCATATATTAATCTCAATATTATAAGAAATATTAGGATCTTTATTATTTTGAATGTTGAATGAGATATCATACTGGATTTTATATGTCCATATTGGTGGCCTAGAATAATAAGAGAGAGAAAATAAAGCTCACTCAGTAACAATGAAATCTAGTTTGCTATTGTGTTTTTTATACATATGGAAGTAGAAGGGCAATGAAAAGGTGCTTTTCAACTTTATGACACAACCCTGATGCCACTTGAGGGAGCTATGGTATCCAAAATAGTCTAAGAAAAATGTAATAAAGATACAACTAAAGCAGTTTTAAACCTATTTTATTTAAAAGACAGAAATTTATCTAAGTGCCTGCTTAATATTTTCATGGAAATGAGCAGTACTTTAAGGTGTTGTATTACACATAAAAATGCATTTATTTTTACTGTAAATATGTAATGATGCAAGTTTCACACATCCTAATTTTTTGTCCATTTTCTGTGATCATATTAGCATATAAAATATTTTAAAATTTTATGATGCAATACTCAGTTGTTAGAACATATAAGAACATCTGCTGTTATTACCTGTAAAATTCTTTTAGTTTGCCAATATGTTTTGATTAAATTAGATCTAGGACAAATATTCTTTTACAGCAACAAAATGGTACTAGAAAAGGGAGCATGCAATCAATATTTTTCTGCCGTTTATCTTTACCAGGAATTTCTATTTTATTGGAGGACAAATTTCTATTTATTAATCCAGCAGTATTTGTCTTCTTGAATCACAGTGCATTTAAAATGAAAACCATAAAAGAAAACAGAATGGAATAATAGACATGATAAAAGTCACTTAGAGACAACTTCATATCTGGAGAAATATCTATAACTGATGTAATTGTTATTTATAATTCAAATAAGAACAGAACAAATGTCACAGTAAAATAACGTATGAAAGTACAATTATAATGGATAATACCATGAAATTGGTGTGAGGGGTAAAACAAAAGGTAACCTCAAATATATTGAGCCAAGAAAATATTCAGCAGCTTAATATGGATATGTAAATAGCTAAATAGTTATTATTTTAGTAAGTATCTTTTTAAAAAGGGTAAAATCCATGTTACAATTGTTAGACAATAGCAAAAACATACACACTTCAATAGCTATTCTCAATTAACATCTCTGGATTACGTCATAGGTTTGCTGAGGAAAGACACAAAAAATGGTGTTCTCCAACCTGTGCATAAAACTAATCTATGGCATATCCTGAAAACATGTATCAGCCTTCCCAGTTTCACAGTCTGGTTGAGATTTCTCAGAACATACCTGGAGAATACCAAGCTAAGGGAGATGGATTGATACCATATTCTGATAAATTAAACCCTTGTTCTATCAGTCTTTTTATGAATGCCACCTCAAAAGTTCTAAGTTGCAACAGACACATAACCATAAGAAAGTTCATAGCTATATATGTCACAAGATATAAATAGCCATTTCTATGTCCCTGGGGTTTCCAGTCTTCACTTACTCTTCCCTCAAACTTGTTTGCCCTGGCCCTGCATTTATCTTCTGCCAATTTCTCTAAACCATAACTATCAAATGCAAAAAGGGAGGAGAAGAAATATGTTTGCATGCCCACAGCTAATTGAATATAACTGCACATCTTGGTTATTATACATGTAGTAGTGCACCTCCCTTCAATGGTCTATAAGAAGTCTCTGCTTGTCTCTTTGTTCAGTTCCATCAGCTGAATTGCTCCCAGATGCATATATGCTGTAGTCTGACCACTTTTCAATAGTATATCTGGAAATGTTAATGCAGTACACACCTCTATCCCACACCACCTTCTTCTGCACATGCCTTAACAGACTGCTATATCTTTCATTTTTAGGCTGTAATGTTCATTCCAAAAGTAAAGGCTAAGAGAATGCACCATTACTAATCATAAGATTGAGGAGTTTGCTATGAGGTCTAAAGCACCTTTATTCACAAAGAAGTCCCACACAATTCAGTGGACCTCCATAACAAAAACTAGCTACCCTTTCTGTACAATATTTATGGTATTTAATTATTTGTTTCCTAATTCATTTCCTCTCTAACAGCCTTCCCTGACTTGGTAGCCTCCAGGTGCACCAGACTTCATGTTCTATAATCCCCACCCAGATAGAATGATCCTTGCTTGGGAAAAGCTTGAATTAACACACTTCTACC